CCTCAAATGAGTAGCTCTGCATCTGCTGCATGAGTGCATGTAACCTATGCATTTCCGGAAACCTGACCATCGCGCAATGCAACATGTGCGAAAGCTACCAAAAAAGATATTATCAGCGTGCCACCTTCATGTTCGGCTGTTTGCTTTTCATGCTTTTATATTCACCCCAATCATTTTTATTACATCACGCACGTCTCTGGTTTGATTTTATCAGTATAGAGAGGTTACGAGGGGTTGAACATAAGTGCCGAGAGCGAAGCACAATGGCCTTGCGTTTCACTTTTCTTCGATCGCGTTTGTACGCCTGCCTCCAGGAAAACGACTGATGTTCCTTTCCCAATCACTTAATTAACAGCTGTATGCTTCATTGCGAGCTGCAAAGGGGCACACAGTTAGCGAATTACGTAATTATTCAACGCAATACCACCACCCTGCTGCCACAGTTTCGGGCGCACTGGACCGAATATGCCGGAAGGCCGAACGGTTGTGACACTTTCCCCATTCCCGAGATTTTAACCGCACGATGTTATCAGCGACATTTATAGCTATACACCGATGCTACTTTACAGATGTGCGGTGCGTCAGCAGCGAAACGGTCTTATATAACATCGCGGGCACCGCGTCATTGAGCGCACCTATCTCGAAGTCGCTCACTGCTGTCACAACACGCATGATAGGAAAAACAAAAGTGTAGAAAAAAGTGCGCAGGCGCAGAGTTTTATGGCGGTGCGGTGGGCGTCCTTCACAGCACCGTGCAGACCCGCTTCCATTCTGACGCTAAGAGAGCTTAAAACTTTACCTACTATTTGAACGCTTATAGTTTTATTTCTCTCTGCTAGGGCACGTGGTTTACCAACAACTCTGTCTGCCCATTACTTCAGATTATTTGCCTCCTTTGCGTCCCCCTTTCACCCAAGAGGAAATGAAGCGACTCATTAAGGCCCAGGACCAGACCTCTCAAATCCTGGCCGTCCAGAGGGCCCGTGCGAGGGCCGTCAGGTTTAACCTGATGGTCCCCGAGTGGGCCTAGCCAGGTGACGCTGAGTTTACTCGCGTCTATTGTGGACCGAATAAAGTTGTTTCACTCACTCACTCCTTTGCGTCCATATATTGGACATGCCGGAACGATTGTTATGTGCTTTCCGCAGAGCCCTACCGTCATGTTTGGTTCGTTCGCTACTGCCGAGAGACGATCGTCATCCAAAGCACCTGTATGCCAGTCGGATGTGCACACGCAACCAAGCGTGCGAAAGTAATGTGGATGGCTTGAACTTCCTGAGCTTTAACCGAGTAAGCAGAAAATATTTTCCTTCTAATTCGCACCCAAATTCTTTCTTAAATCTCGCATACACTTTTGTTGATGATAGCCATTGCAGAACCTTAGCTGAAGGACTTAAGTACAGTAATATTCTTACAAACTAAATATGCGGTACGATGGTTTTAGCCTTCCATGCTGCTTCACTAAATCGGTGACAGCGCTCAGAGAGAGCACCGGCGTTGTATTTTAGGCTATACATTGCCAGTTTAATGGTATTTCGCGCAAGTGAAGCCATTTGATCCCATCCAACCATCTGCGCATATTGGAAAAAGGGAAACTTAGTTCCGTAGGGTCTAATAAGGAAGGTTGCTTTGCATATACGCCGCAATTCAACTTTTCTATAAAAGCTTTAGCAGTCATTAGGCTGAATTTGTAGGCTGCAAAACTCAAGGTCTTGACATTTAAGCAACGCGCTACTAATTCCTGGTTAAGGGAGTCTTCATTAGATTCTTTAATTAAATGCGCTTTTAAAGGATAACTCCTAATTAGAACTGAGAAGGTGTGGCCTGCTCATGTCATCTGACTTTAACAATCCAATAATATATCCCTTTTAAATGCAAAGCATTTCTTAGTGAACTTCGGCGACTTTGAGCGTATCTATCTGCCTAGCCACCTACGACATTTAGCTCTCCTGGCCGTTTCAATAATGGTATCGATACCAAACTTGGTAAAGCATATCATGACTGTATGAAGAACATATTTGACAAGTCATAACATAAAAATCATGACATGTATGTCATGAATGTCATGATTTACATTTTATGGTCTTGCAGCTCTTGCGGTTGTTTCGTTCACATGGCATGTTGCAAAACTGGTATGGTATGACATGATGACATGCCGAACACAAGCGACCGACCTTAACATGAAAATCATGACATGCGTGTCATGTAACATGACTACATGCTCCACTCATGATGTGCTGGTAGTTGTATCGCTAGCTTCACTTATATTAAAGTTGGTATTATGGGACGTGAATGAATAACGAAGGTATGTGACTGGTGCAAACATGATAATCATGAGATGCGTGTCATGTACCAACATGACTACACGCCCCGCTCATGATGCGCTGGCGCCTGTATCGCTAGCTTCACTTATACCAAATTGGGTTATATTGGACGTGATTGGATGACGAACGCGCACGCGCTAACCGACCGCGCCGGTTTCGAGCAACGATTCGGGGCCAACGGGGTGGCGGAAAACAGGGACGCGCCTGCCCCGTACAACGAAATAACAAAGCATTTTTATCTCGCGCGGAGACTATATCCACTCCCTCATCCAAATCTTAATAGGCCACAGGCCTTTACGCTCAGACAACTGCAGACCGACACGCACCCTAACCTGAGATCTCTTCACGCTATTTATCCAGACGTGTTTCCCAATGACGCTTGCCCCGCATGTGGAAATGTATCCACGCTGGCGCACATGCTCTGGGAGTGCAAGGCAATGTACACTAACCCCAACACTACATCGGTCAGGTGGGAGGCGGCCCTACGCAGCTCCCTCCTGGCCGACCAACTTTAAGCCGTCCAGCAGGCCCGCGGAGTGGCCGATAGGCTTGGCCTAACGGTCCCGACGTGCGAGTTGCCCGCTGCGCACTGACGCGAGCCTTGCAGGTCCACAATAAAGTTTCGAAACAAACCAACGGATGACGAAGTTATGATACTGGTGCAAGCGTGATAAACATGAGATGTGTGTCATGCGAGAACTTCATTACATACCACAGTCAAGGCACCAATACATTTTGAGGTGACGTGGTGCGCCGGCACGCCGGCGTTCATTTCGTCGCGTCACGCCGACGTTGCCATGCCAGGCGGCGTTCTTGCCATATACTCGCAGGTGCGCGCCGTGCTGCGTTGCTTCGACGCATGCGCGTTTCAGCGTGTCCGGCGTCCCTTCGTCACCAAAAGATGGAGACAATGTGTTGTCTGGGTAACACATCGGCGCGAAATGCAGCATGTTGCATTTCGCGCCGGTTGCCGTCGGGCCGCGCCAACGGACGCCGGTCGCGTCTGGCCTCAGACTATAAAGTGCTCGCGTTTTTCTAATCTAGCGTCGCTGTGCCCATGCAACGTGCGCGTGAGTCAATGCTACATTGGAGTACATTAAGACCTTCATGATGCCTTCGCGGCCGTTCGGCTAGCTCCACATATACCAAGTTTGGTGTTACGTGACGTCGATGGATGGCGAAAATATACGACTGGTGCAAACATGATAATGATGACAACTGTGCCATTTAAGAAAATGACGACATACCACGCTCACAGCGTGCTCGCGGCCGTTTTTCGAGCTCCAAATATACTAAATTTGGTATCACGTGACGCGAATAGAGGACAAAGGTAAACGACACGTCCAAACATGCTAATCATGACACGGAAGTCGTGTATGGCATGATTTGCCCTTACCTCGTAACATTGTGCTGATTTTAGAATGACATATTAACCTTACTCGTACGTGCTTCGCATATCATTGATTCCCGCTGGACGTGGGATCTGCCAAAGTTTTTGGTTATTTATTGCTATGTTTTTTTATTATTCGTCAGATCTCATTCATTTCGGATCATTGAGCAGGCCAACAGATTGTTTATGGCCCTGCAAACGATCAATTTTTCTACTGAGCAAAACCAGGGTTAGGAGTCTTCGCGCAAGGCTTACTTTTAATAAAATTTTCAATTGGGAAAAATTTCCAAGCATACGATTTGCTTTATAATGCTCGTACGTGCTTAACGAGATGTGCTTTATATCGCAGGCTAATAATCTCTCATGATTATTGCTTTTAAAAATATTCTGTCACTTGGCCTCATACCTTATGTGCAACTGACTCAGCAATGTTGTATCTAACCGGTTGTTAGTCGAGAATAAATGTATTCTTTCTTTAATGCACTGCCGCTCGCCTGTGATTCGAGTAATATTCTTGACCTGCAAGTTTCAGTGCGTTAGAACATTATTCGCATTATAATCTTGCACCTAATAAATGTCTTAGTGGAGAATCATCGTGTTCTTAATAGAAAAGTATTCCAGTATTCATATTCTTGTAAATGTATCCCTGTAACTGTATTACGGGATACTTTTTTGTCTTTCTTTTCAATGCATCTTCAAAATATCCCATTACGCCTAAGAGAAATGTATCTCAGTATCTGTATTTTCGGCTCGCAGCCAATGCATTTGAATATTTGTATTCCGGAATACCTTTTCAGTATCTCCGCCCAGTTCTGGGTTGTAATCACAATAATTTGCTATTGATGCGAATTTTATTATCCTAACACTTCCCTAAATTAAATTACGTCTCCAGAACCTTGGCATAAAAGTATGTGTGTTTGACACTTTGAAACCGTTGATCTTAATACGTGTTGTTAAGAAAGAAGCTCCCACCTCCTTCCCCTTCGAGTCCCGCCGCAGTGGTCTAGTGGCTATAAGGTACTCGGCTGCTGACCCGCAGGTCGCGGGTTCAAATTCCGGCTGCGGCGGCTGCATTTCCGATGGAGGCGGAAATGTTGTAGGCCCGTGTGCTCAGATTTGGGTGCACGTTAAAGAACCCCAGGTGGTCGAAACTTCCGGAGCCCTGCACTACGGCGTCTCTCATATTCATATGATGGTTTTGGGACGTTGAACTCCACATATCAATCAATCCTTCCCCTTCGAGAAAAATCCCTGTCCACCCCATTGGAGACGGCATGCATACGTACACCTTGTTGATGTTCTTGAAGAGCGTCGGGTCGATGTCCTTGCGGGCGAAGCTGTTCAGTGGGTGCGAGACGAGTCCCTCGCGGGCCAGGTAGAACTCGGCGCCCTCGTAAGACTGGCACACCGAGGAGATGCGAAACACGAGCGACGTGCCGTCGCTGATGACGGCCGCACGGCCCTGGACCACGCGCCGCAGCAGCGACTGGCCGTACAACACGGAGGCCGGGACGGCCGTGCCCCGGTCTTTCACCACGCGTCCCACCTGGCGAAGCTCGGGATTGGTCGATTGCTGCGGGAGAAAGCGGAATAGTTTGAGTTTGAGTTTTTTTAACCACGTGACAAGTACACGAAGATACACTGTATACGTGGTTTGGTGCGAAGGGGGAAAAAAAGCTGCATTTCACAGCTTGACTGGCCCCTTCACCCAGAAAAAAATCTAAACTACAAATTTACAAAAATATAAAAATTACAGGCAACGGAAAACGACAATACAAAGAGAAACACGCATGTGGCCCATGACAGCAAATAATAGAATGACAACTCTGAAATACATACGAAAATATTCATTACAAAGCAATGTATGAAAGAATAAAAACTGAATAACCATTGCAGAAATCACCCAACATTCATTCACAACACAATCAGCACATCCGATTTAACATTTCAATTTTAGACAATATACGCAGATTATCAGTGGTTAGTTGCACACATTATACAGCATTTTAAGCGTTCTTCGACATTTTTGTAGCCCCTTTTTATGGCCTCGCTTGCTTGTTCCTTTTTTTGTGTGTGTGTTTTGTTTGTGACCGGGTTTCACCCACAGAACTGTTAAGATCACGCGTGTCGCAGGCAACGACGCCACGTTCACATGTTTCGAACTGTTTCGCCATTGTTTCGAACTGTTTCGTCAAGATTACGCGTCGGTCACTATATAGTAACCAAGTTATTCCATAGGGAGTTTTATATTGGCTCATACACGCAAAGCTTTGCAGTCCTTTGCGGTCACACGCTACTTCCGTCTCTCAAGGGGGGCCCGCAAGAAAATAGCGTACTACGCATGCGCAGTGGCGTGAAACGCTAGCGCAAAGCTTTGCGTTTCCACCACTTTGCGTTGAGCACCAGCAATAACGTTCGAAGGCTCGATATGGCACGCAATAAAAGGCAGTGCATTTCACAGATGAACAGATTACCGATGACGTGTAACCATGCTTGCTCCTTGCCCTGCACATTGAGGCTTGCTCCTTTTACTGGAGAACAGTTTCGCCCTGTAACGTGCCTTATTTTTAGCAAGCTGCGTTTTGCATTTCTCACCGCCACACTCTGGTGGTGGTGAGGAATGAAAGGGTACTTCAAAGAGCGCTGCATCTCTCATTGAAGAAACATCGCAAAGAGAAAACAGCAGGAATGGCAGTCAATCATGCACAACAAATATGAAATAAACGTATAGGTACACCATCACAAAAAAGTAATACAAAAATAATAATACAGAATGAGAATAATTTGAGAGAAAGGCAGGGAGGTCAACCGGATATTTTATCATCCGGTTTGGCATACCACACTAAGGGTAGGGGAAGAAAGATGAAAAGAGAAGAAAAGCGAAGAGAAAAGTAGGTCCGCGTAAAAGAAAAAAAATACGTTACAGTAATTCTCAAGTTAGGTGTCTGGCATAGTGGCACTCGCATGTCGGCCTCTTTCGGGCGCCCTTATGTATACCTCTCGTCAACATCGCGTTTCGTCGCACTTCCTAAGCGTGTCTCAGAGTCCATGCACATACGAAGCGGGCTTGGAACCCGCAGCCAGCGGGCTGCATGCAGCCTGCAGCGCAACATGGAATAAATTTTTTGGTGAATTTGCTGAGTAGCACTACAGCACTATTTTCTCGGCTATTGCAATTAACAGCGCTGCTTACGAGTAACAATTGGCTACTCACGAGGGAGCCGTCTGAAGCAGTTTTTGGAGATGCTTTATGGCAATCGTCTCAAACACGCGGTTCGCGAAGATCTCGCTCGCGGCCTGTCGCCTGCGCACGACTGTCTTCATCTCATTTTTTTTTATTTATCTTAATGAGTATGTTCATTAGCTAGACAGACATGACCTGCCTAAAACATCGCTTTCGTCTGACACCCCATGTGCTGACTCGTATATATCCCTGAAACAAGCTATATTTATGAATCGGCGACCAGATTTTTTCCTATATTGGCGATCGGTATAAACATTTTGTTGTAATTCTGGGGCAAAACTTAATTTAGAAATGACCCGCATTTGAAATATTGGAAAGACTTCTTACAAATAGTAACGTTTCCCGAAAGTTTGCACTAACATACCCACCCACCATAGAGTTTCCCGTATATACACTAGAGGAAACTCTGGCGCTAGTACCTACACTCTAAAAAAGCGAGTAAAAAGGGTGTCTTTTTATCCCACAACAATAATCGTCATCTATATTGCGTTCCATCCTTGCGCTATCGCCCCGCGCCCGGTACATTCCGGTCACGATCGACATGCCCATTATCAGGGTTACATTGCATTCTCGATAGGAAAGTGGCCAGTGCCGAGTTCTCAAGAAAGGAAGCGCACGCAAGCCTGATGACGATTATTGTTGTGGGACAAAAAGACACCATTTTACTCGATACTTTTTGAGAGTGTATAGGAGCTGCGATGCATGGCGCTTCAGCGAGCATGGAAATGACGGGTAGTACACGAATTTGCCTAGTCTTCGTATGTACGTTTTTTTTTTTTTTGGTTTCGCGTGGCTTGCAGCTAATTTCTCACAAAACAACAGTCCGCAAATGTTTTTGGCAGTTGCGCTTCACCACCTCAATCTTTTAGGCTTACCATTTCAAATCGGTTGAAGAACTTCAATAGGGTACGTTTTGAATTTGAAACAAAACCAAAACACAGCAATAAACAAAGCCCCAAGTGCGATTCACCACCCGCAAGTACGAACACTAGGCTAATTCGTGTAATATAGCCATCGTTCCCGTGGTCCCTAAACTATCACAGTGCCAGCGTCCCCTCTAGTTAATTTTAGGAACCTATATGCCATACCCTACCTGCATTCTTATTTTTTATCTGTCTGAGCCCTTGCGAAACTTAATTACGTGACTGTGGTCCGCTAGCTGTGCACAATTTCAAATTTCTGTTAAATGGAAATTCAGAAAGGCGTTCTTTCAGATGAGAACGTAAGGCGACACTTCGAGTTCCTGCCCTTGTGATTTGAAATGTCGTTACCACGGCCCACTATAGTTGAGACAAGTTTTTTTAGACCCAGATTGTAGAAAACGTGCAGTTTACATCTGCACCACCTAGTGCCACGGTGTTCTCAGCTGCTCAGTATATAAAAAAGGCGTCTGCTGTTTCAATTAACTCGTTCAATTAAGCTTTGTTGATTTTAATGACACCTAACTTTTTTTTTATGGAGTGAATTTGTGCTCGGACATCATGGTGTATCTATCATAGCTCTCAGCTTGAACCAGAACCATCAATTTCATATCACAATAAAGCAGGCAATGTAACGCGCGTTTCTATATAATTATTTGGTCGAGAACCTGCAGGCCTTAGCAAAAGAGCGTCGAATGGTCACTTATGCATTTCCCTGAGACGACTCGAAGGCGATAGTCATGTTATTTTTCTTCACAATATATCGTTTTCATAGTCACCTCCTCAGAGCTTTCTGCCTGTATAACGTTGCGAGGCACCACCTCCGGGTTCGGCCCACTGCTGCCCAAGTGTGCGTCCAAGTGTTTCACGTGTGCGTCATCGCATAAGTCATCCGATTATGTCATTGGGTAAAGTTGCGAGATATTAAGGTCACGTTACAGTGCTACGCTGACGGGCACTTTTAGTCACTTGAGCATCACGTGATTTTTGACCGACTTTTGTTTGACAGCTGACTATGCAGTTCATATTATTTATCTGAATATACAAACCGTCGTATCATTCTTCTCGTTTTATGCACGCGGGATGCGCTGCTTTTGCCTCGATTGACTGCATTAAAATATAACCTTTATGCCGCCGTATACCTCACGTCGTCTCAGTCTCATAAGGGATGGAGCATTTTTCGATTCCAACGTCCTATTGTTCTGGCGTCTACAGGTCGTTCACGTTGGCGCCGCTGCCGACATCATCTCGAGAAGTATTCTCAGTCTCTCAAAAACCTTCTATTCGTCAGCCATATGAGGGTTTCGCATTGTTAAGTGCGCGCAAACGACACTCACTGCGACCATGCCGACGTACGAGGTGCCCAGCCACATGTGGGGCACGGTGCTCGGTCTGCGCACCAGGTGGCGCACGCTCTCGATCTTCTCCACCTCGGACTTTATCATGAGGCAGGCGCGCATGTGGCCGCAGAAGGCGTTCATAAGCACCAGGGTGGCCAGCCACCAGGCGCCACTTAGCAGGCGCTCACCGCCGAGAGAGGGAGCACGCGCAGACGCTGCACGGAGAAGGGTTCGTTTAGAACTGCATACACACCACATATTCATAGACGCCTTAAACTGGTGTTATGAACATGTGACTGATTGGGGCGTACTTTATTTTGTTTCTGTTGTTGTTGTTGCGTTTAGCATGACAGATGCTTTGGTTAGATGCAGTGACTTCTTGCATTCTATTACTGAGACATATTGTATAACATTATGTATTATTGCATCATCACTGGATAACTTTTGCTAAATTCATGCTGCGACATGGGCCTGAACTACCGAAATGAAATTGAAGGCTCGTAAAGTATATTGACACAAATTTAGCGCAATTTTCTCGGTAAACTGTGTTCTCTGCACACCGGTATACAAAACTTTTATTTGACTTTTTATTTTATTTCGACAAGCACATATATAGGCATGTTTTCACGCCTGACACGTTGTATCACTAGTTACGGTGCCGGGTTGCCGAACCAAAGGTCGTGGATTTTATCTCTGCTGCGACGGTGGGAGGCAAAATCATTAAGGTCCACTTAGTGTGTGAAGTCAGTTCACGTTAAAGAACAGATAGTCGAAATATACGGATATCTTAAACACAGCATCCCTCATAATCATATCGAGATTTTGCGACGTGAAACATCAGACATTTCGGACGATTTTACGTGTGGCACACGGGCACCGCTTCATTACGCTGATAAGCTAATGCTTTCTTATCTTTCTTTTATTTCGCAAGTCAAATGATGCAACGAAATATTAATGCATTAACCATGTCGTTTTTATGCTTGTGCCTCTACTGAACGTAATACTGTCGGCTTATCCGTTAGACGCGAAGTGGCACGCAGTACGGCCGCACCAAAACGCATCCGTAAAACACTCTATAAGGGATAACTTAGCCTCATTTTTTGTTTTCTATTTTGTCCTCACATCTGGGATCACCGCATCGTCATGCGGCTTTGAAAACTTTCTGACACACGTGTTTTTTTTTTCTTAATTTTCATTGACAGTTTTAAGCAGGAGTGTGCGTTTAACTCGACCTGAAAATTTTATTCTAGAGACACACATTCATTACACGCTTCATATATGACGCTGCCCCTCTCAAGCACTCGGCTTCAAAGTGGGTACGAGCCTCACCTACCAAAAAGTAGAAGCACAACCATGCACATCAATTTAAGTGTACACTTACAAAACCCCAGGTGATACATTCATCTACACTTTCCTACTACGGTGTGCCTCATGATCGCGTTGTTGTTTTGGCACGTTTTATTCCATAAATGATAACACTAAGGGCTGGGTGCTCCGCCTAACACTCTCAGAGATACCTTCACTTCGCGAGACATCGCGAGACAAGTGTCGAAAGCCTTCCGCTGCCATGTCGATCGGCCACTGTGACTACCATGCTAAGCGATGGGAACATTATCACTCGTAGGCGCGCTTGCGCATCCAGCGATAACTTTGCGAAACTGAAAGTACTGCTAAAACAAGTCTCTAGAGATCGATACCGCCTTCCCCCTGAAACTACCACATATAGGTTTGCGCATTTCCAAGTTAATAAATAAAGAAATTAAAAATGTTTTTCATGGTGGTGGACAGAGTATTTGAAAAGGGCACAGATAGGTCCGTTCAAAGTTTCGGCGAAGGGCCCAGGAAGTAATCGGCAGCATTCTCACCTTCGAAGAAAAGGTTCTCCAGGTACTGCCACACGGCGTCGGAGAAGAAGCCGTAGAAGGAGTAGCTCCGTCCCGCTCTCGATGCGTGCATCGAATTGAACAGGGCCGTGATCAGAGAGACGAACACCAGCGCCACGCTCAGAAACATCCACACCTTCAGTGCAGAAGAAAACGTGGTTTAGAAATACACAGTCTTGCCGCAAGGGCGAACGCAGTGAATGCGGCTGCAACAAAATGCGATGTTCTACTAGGGATAGCAATTAACTCTCTTAGCATCCGACCTGGCGTGACTCGTCTAAATGCTGGCCTAATAAAACACAGTATCTGAAATGATCGAAGTGCCTTGAGCTGTCTATGGCTTCAACGCAAACTCAGCGGTGAGAACCAGCGCGCACAAACGCATGAGCCGTGTGTTGATCTACGGCATGAGGCGCGCGCATGGGGTCGCTTCGCCGTAGCCACGCAGCCCCCTTCCCCTTCCTTCCTCCTTCACTTTCGTAATTGGTAGAGGGTATACGATGCACCCACATACACTCGTCGAAGAAGGCTGAGTCAGTGCCTTGAAGACATGACCACTTGTCAGAACGTTAAATGGGGGACAGCATCTGTTTCAAGAATTTTAGGCCTTCTCGAAAAGTACGTAGCTCATATAGCAATGCGCATTGCAGAGTTAATGCAAGAGCGTACGCGGGCACTTGACATGTACTTACAATATATGGCTTCCTTCGAACACAGGGAAAGCATAAAAATTGTCGACCATCCGATCAGACTTGTGTACTCCCCTCACAATGGTGACGGTTGCCCTATCTATGTATGCTGATAACAGTGTATGTAGCGAACTTAACCACCATTTCTGCCTTTGTTTTTTTTGTATCGTTGCAAACAGTTGCAAACAACACAGAAGGCTAAGGCTAAAAAATCTAAAGTAGTTGCTTCAGGTCCCTTTAGTGCCTCAACAGCCCGTTCCGCTTCTTTATTTATTTATTTATTTATTTAGTTTTAGTTAAACAGTCAGTTAGTTAGTTAGTTAATTAATGAACTAATCACTCTTTAATTGTGAATTAAAATATGTTAGTTAGTTAGTTAGTTAGTTAGTTAGTTAGTTAGTTAGTTAGTTAGTTAGTTAGTTAGTTAGTTAGTTAGTTAGTTAGTTAGTTAGTTAGTTAGTTAGTTAGTTTTCTGGTCATCATTTTGCACATCTCTCTACTCCATAGCAGCAATGGCACCTTGAACTACATCAGTCGAGCGACCCGGAGGCACATGTCACATGCGTTGATGAATATGTCTATTTTCTGGCAACACTGTTTTTGATTACATTTTTTAATGATATTCCTCACGGTCTGTCTAAAGCAAACGTTTCAGCTTCTCTCGCATAACCATGACAATTCAGAATCAGACATGTTTGGCAGCCACGAACGTACCATCCAATCAAAGGCCATGATGTATCCAAAAACACTGCTCTCCTGAGCCCTCGTTCGGCCTGCCAGAATCCGTAGTTCCTCGAGGTAAAAGACGGCCGATGGCTGTGCAATCTCTAGACGTTCAGTGGCCGGAAAGAATGGTCCCATGGCCAGGTCGCTCTCCTACATAGCATTACGATGCATTCAGTGGTTCGAGCAAAATATTTTTCTTTCCTTTTTTATGTATATGAAAAGAGAATGGTGATATTGTGTGTCGGGGGTAGCTACTCCACTTCTCTTCCATCGTAGCCACAGACATGCTCAGGGTACCACTTCCGGTAAAAGGAGTGTCAACTTTCGTCCTTCCTTCTTTCCTAGTCCAAAAGACAACATGCTTGCAATGAAAGACAAAAAGAAAAAGGAAGTGGTCATGCGCTTCTCAGAATGGTCACCTTTTGGTCCTTAACTATCAGGGAGGACTGAAAACAGCGCTAAGAAGCGGGGACACAAGAAGAGGACACACGGCACAGGCGCACAGGGAGGGTCGACGGGAAGTGAACAGCACTTAAAATGCAACATCAGGGTTCTTCAGCCGCCATTGTCGCCAAAATCTGAATGACAACAACCTTGTTTTTTAAACAATGACGTATAGGGCTAGACAATGCGCCCCTCTAAAGTGGTGGGGAGACAAGCGAATCCCCCTCTGCCTCTTCACGCGTACACCTATGAAATAGTTGTCACAAAATAGGGGACAAGCCCAAAACCTTAGAAATATGAATACCGCCAAACACTGATGAGCCCATGATCACTTCTTCAATAAAAATAAGTGTCCACCCTAAGCAAAATATTATCAACCATAAATATTAACGCAAACTAAATGTCGTCACGTAACGCCACGCTTCACCGGGATTCTGTCACAGCATATCACTTGGCGTTTGGCATATATCCAAGTCATAAGTCGAATTACCTGTCCGTGACTCACTCTGCTAGACCTCTGGAGGGTATGGGTATAGGCAAGTTAGTGATTCCTTATTGACGATGGTAACTGCAATACTACATGGATATGGAAAGACATAACCGCTTCGTGTCTTTCTACGTCCAGTATGATTTCAAGATCAGCTTTGCTGATTGTTACTCACATTGGAATTCATTACCCACCTGTGTGCTTTGTGTACAGATGACGCAACACTGATTGTCTGACCTTGTGCTGGCATGCATTCTCGACTCTATCAACAACGTCTTATTTTTAACGACTATTTAAATAGTCCTTACGGTGTCATATAGGGGCCTATGACGCCTGTCTGGCATTGTGTTTCCACTGACAACTTCAAGGCAAATTGTAACTCAGCGTTGATGTGCCGCAGTGTTTGGACGCTAAATATAGAACTTTATAGGGCGTTGATTGGACGAACTCACGTTGCGGTGGAGCATGCCCATGGATCCAGTCCAGGTGCCGTCAGACTGTGGGCTTCCTGTCGTCAGCTCGCGTGGTACGCCGATTGTGTAACTGTTCAAACCATAATCGAAGCTTGAGTGGTCTCTCTGTAAAACACTACGCTTAAGTTTTAATAAATGCAGCTGGGACAGCCGACATTTATTACACGAGAAAACTAGATGCACAAACGAATGGCAGAGTCTGCTTCTATTTAAAAAAAATGCCGAACCCTTGAGATTAACCTTTGAGAATTGAACGCGATATCTTGTCCGTAGTGATTACTGAGTTCAAAATGGCTTTTGTCTAAGAAGCTTTCGCATACGACTGCATTTTGTATAATGAATAGCATGCTTTAAACCACGACCAATTGTGCCCGTGCAATCTTTTCGAACCTGCTATGCACCCACTAAGCGGCTTTAAGGGAAACAGTGCAATAATGTGTGCGCCTTTTGTGTGTGGAGGGGGGGGGGGGAGGGTAATGGCCCGCTTTAAAACATGGTTTGAAGATAGTAGCATGTTCTGACGACCGATTGCAATGTACGCTTGTATCTCCCATTAATACTATATTACATATTGCATTGTGAAACACTTATACAAGACACATGTGTTTGTGAAGCTTGCAATATACTTTCACTGCATTTCCAGGCTGATGCGTGGCCCTGTGGTTGAACACTTGATTGCCACGTGATCAGCCCGGGTTCAATCCTTACTCAGACCCACAAGATCTTTCTCGATTTTTCGGTCACGAATAAGATGAGGTTTTTTTTTTTTTCGCTCACAACACCAACGCCGACATCGGGATTTCTGCGAAATGAGCTTTTTAACACTATCACGTTGAAAATGCGCAGCATTAAATCTCCTGCTGAGAAGACCATCATTTTTAACTCCCCCAGCTGAAAACATTTGGGCAATAAATGTACCTGTAATCCATGGAATGCACTCGGCGTCAATGGTCCAGGTTGAATCCTCGTTTCATGTGTAGTCATCGCCAAAAGATTAAAGACCATAAGACAAAAGCAACCGTATAATACGACTTATTCCATCGGTGGCTTTTAATTTAGATTGCCAGCCTCTTTCAGATGCACTAACAACATGTGTACTGTAGAGTTCAACCAAACACAGTCACAAATTGCTGGGAAGTATGAGGTTTTTTTAATTTTTTTTGCATGCCTAGTGGTCTCCTAAAGTTTGACACCAAAATTACAGAAACCAAGTAAATATTGACAGTGGGATTTCCAGTGCATGTTCGTTTGCTCTGGTCGCCACAGGCCCCGACGCTTCGTTACTTTGGCTAGTCAGCGTTTTAATCGCATTACTTACGATTTGCGTCTAGGTGAGTCATGATGTGCGCTGTCCAGAATAAGGTGACACATACAATCTTCCAAAAGTCCACCTTCGAATTCTGCAGTATCAGTTCCTTCAGTTTTCTATTGAAAGCCGTTTTGTGTATAGGGTGCCTAGCTACAACTGACGAATGAGTGCGTTCGTAGTTCTATCTAAAGCTGACGTAATTTGGGAAGTAATTGAGCGGATAAATGTGATATACGTCACAGTTATTTGCAGTAAAACCAAGTACTTAGCAGAATTAAAATGCTCTCTTGAAGGCAGTGCCGTTGTCGGTAATAGCTAAAGAGTTTCTGTCATAATACAATAAGTTACATACCATAATGGTTGGCACACCATATGCATGCTCTGCTTATTATATATATATATATATATATATATATATATATATATATATATATATATATATATATATATATATATATATATATATATATATATATATATATATTATACGATACGTATATGTATGTGCTCAGTTCTGTGATGTGTTGCCCTAAGCAGCATACATGGGTGGATTAATGCGCATAACGACCAGACGTATTGTCTTTTATGTTGTCTGCCCATATGTGCGGACTCGATTCAATGATTACCAAAGTAGTGATTAGATACGTATTTATTCGCATTTCGGCCATTTTTTTACGTTGCGATGGCGTTTCTTGATGATGCGGACGAGCTTGCGTGCGTACTCCTGTCCCTATTTGCTATGTAATTTTGTTTGCATGTTTGTTTCTTGCCTTCTATGCTCGATTCACTAAATGCGCACGGAACTTACGGCAGCTTATTTGTTTTCCATCATCTTTCACAACGTGTCAGTAAAGAAGCACCATTTGCATGCACCGCACTTCGAAACAATCAACGTTCCAGTGTTGGTCTAGACTTGTGGGATCATCCGCAAAAGGTGTTAACGACGTCAGCACAGGCAACAATTTCTCCACACACAGTAAATCAACCAAATAATGAGAAACTGACTCACTTGAAGCCCAACACTTGAACCAGTGAGTTGAAAATCTCGCCGAGTGGTCCGGACAAGCAAACCCGGTCACCAGGACCTTGAATCATTGTCGTGTGCGGCTTGTACTAAGCATAAGAGCATAGTTAGTCCGTTCTCTTCGCTTGTAATTCAACTTGTTGGGCGTACGGGACCGTGGTATTGCGAGAGGGGGAACTAATAGAACAAGTCGGTGGCACACAGCGTATAAAACAGAGATCTGGCAAACGTCATTTAAACACATGTTGCCCATCACGGTGGTCTAGTGGCTAAGGCACTCAGCTGCTTACCCGAATGTCGCCGTGTCGAAGCACGACTGTGGCGGCCACATTTTGATAAAGGCAAAATGATTGAGTGTACCAAAATTTGGGTGCACGTTAAAGAAGTCCATAAGGTGAAAATTTCAGGGGCCCTCCACTGATGTGTTCTTAATAATCATATTCTGGTTTTGAGGCGTAAAACTTCAAGAGTTTTGATGACTTGAAGCAAAGGTATGAAAATCAATGTTTCATAATTGTATAATCCTCTCTTTACTAAAGTGAATAGTGATGTAAAAATCTTCGTTCTGTAGACAAAATTTTCATTTCGATGTTAGGAAATGCGTGAAGCGAACTCGTTTTCGCAGCTTGTAACCACGATTACAACAGCCATCACATTCGAACAGTGTAGAGACATGAACGCTTTGTCGCCGACAAAAATTAAGACGGAAACGATGGCACGAAGTGTTCAGGTATAGCATAATGTGTGAGAATGCATACGTGCTACTTCACATTGACCCTAACCAAGGCCACTGGCTTCATTCAATGAAGCAGGAACAACGCACAAAACTGGGTAACATTTTTTACTTCTTTAACCAGCCTTCCTTTCTGCCTGAAGTCGGCTTATGCTTTGCTGCATAACTTTAAGTATTGGAAGATATGGAGGTCGGGGAGAGAAAGTAAAAGGTAAATTTGACAACAGCTTTCATTAACTTGCTGAACTTTTGCTCAGACCTTATTTTACAAAAGAAGGCCTAAGTGTCCACTTGCAGAAATTGATTGCTTGATATTCGAAAGATAGCCCACTGCAAGCTATTTCTACATATGTGAAAAATGTCAGAAAGGAATAACAATTACGTGGCAAAGACAGCTTTTCTTTCCATATAAGCACACTCTAGAAAAGTTCCATTAGTACTTACCGGTATAATGGAGACTCTCAGTGTTCGGTTGTACATATTGCCGTATTTCACAGTTGCCGTAAGTTAGCAAATAAACTTAGTCGCGGCCAGCCTTAAATATTCCTTATGTTTTCGCAAAGTACAGTGGGATGTTGTAGGAAAAAACTTCGGTTTCGTATAGATTTCAAAGTTCAGTCATTATACTTAAGTACCTCTGTAATATAATCGACAACAGGCTGGAGCATCGAGTGATGCAGTGTTGCTAGTTTTTCTTCGAGACATTTAGAGCAGACCTCCTTCCCCACCTTATATTCCAGGGACCAACCAGAACAAGTAAACGGGAGCACGTGACAGGAGTTCACTATTCGCTGCCTTCCGAGTATATTCTAATGGGCCAATGAGAGGACAGTTGGGGAGCATCGGCATGTTTCCCGTGAGCAGTGCGCAATACACTGAGGAGATAAACGAAAACTACAGGCTTGATGGAATTCCTGACGAACTGGATGTGATCTGTAATCAATAATAATGGAGCCTCAGTACAATCAATACCTACGGTATGGCACACATGATGGCTAAATTATTTCAAAGGTCTGATTCGCAACGTTGGGTACAAGGTCGTAATTCACCCAACGCTCAATATAATATTACCCGAAACTGGAAGCTATTCAGGAAATCCCACGTTGCTGGGCTCAAACGGAAGGCAAGAGGACAGGCAACTAAAAGAGAGACTGAAAAAAATGTTCGTTATCCCGGCGATGTTCACCTGAAGTGGCAACCAGGTCTTGTGTCTCGCGATTAGAGAGACGTCTGTAAGTAGAATACAGGACAATGCAATGCAGTGATTAATTTTTGTGCGTGAACAGTACCGATGTGGCCATTTTATCTCTTTCCGGGGAAAGCGATTACATGGGGCCACAGCGCCCCAATGATATCGACATCATTGAGGTAAAGAAGTGAATCCGAAACGAGCGTGCGACGAGATATCATTAATCATACGTGCATTCCTAATTGACTCGCCATCATTTCGCCGCAAACGGCTATCAATCAAGGCATACCGATACCAAACATTAGGTATATTTAAGAGATATTGAGGGCTGGGCACGCAGCAAGCGGAGTCTGGTGACTACGCGCAATGTTCATTACCCTGTTAAATGGCACGTGTACAGTTCAAGTTGAAATTGAGTGACTGTTAATTATTTTAAGAAAACATTGGGGTGATGAGACAGTGTTGCTTCTCCTCCACCATTCTAAAATCGCATGGGCTAACACGGGAAGGTATACACTCAGAAATAAAAATCACCGCCATATCCACAAAGGTTCGATGTTAAAGGAGCTTGCTCGGAGGTCCACCAGGCGTTTCTAAGTGAGGCTATTTCTGTAGGCAGGTTTGTAAAGAAGCCGGCGCACGATGTGTGCAGTATGTTAAAGGCAGTGTTGTCGGGCAGGCTCCACGGCCGGCACTGCAGAGTCTTGCCACCTTGATCGGCACGTTAACCACCAGCCCTTTTATGCCATACTGCATAAAATGCCTCAAAAATGGCAGACGTGGAGCTATCAGACGTTCTTCAACTGAGTTGAGAGCAGGTAGGTGAAAGCGCTATGGAGATAGCGGTACCCGTGCGTAACACTCATCGTAGGAACTTGTCACGTGCTCCCGTGCCTACAAAGAGACGAGAACGAAGTGGGCAAAGTCGCAAGAAGGCGAGTGTGCTGGTCATCGAAAGCCGACGCCTTTGAGAGAAGCCTTCATGTACGCGCTGGGCGGCGCCTTCATATGCGCGACGCGGCGCGCACACGAAGGCTCCCGAACGCCCTGGGTGACCGCGCATCATCTAGTGAGCATTGTTGGAATCACCGGAGAGGACACCTTGAAAGGTGACCGGAGAAGGGTACACCAGCAACACTGGTGTACACGCCGGCTGCCGGACATCACCACTGCCCAACAAGGCGAGAGCATTGGAAGCTTGCCGACCCACCTCCTAGAGAGAGAGAGAGAGAGAGAGATAAATAGAGAGTAAAGGCAGGGAGGTTAACCAAGCTTGGCTCGGTTGGCTACCCTACACTTGGGGTGGGGGAAAAGGGGAATAATAGAACGGAAAGAGACAGAAAAGGAGAGGAGTAAGAAAGAGAAGCATAAATAGTCAGCTCGAGACTACACAGCACGGCCTCGCACAGTTCTTTCACAAGCGGTCGTGAAGTTTGGTGGTCCTTAAAAAGTACAAGAGGGCTTTCGTGGCTTTGCGCGTATGGGAAGCCGTCGGCCAAGGTCCCAGGATTTTCTCTTCTGTAAGCGGCCGTTAATCCAGCTGACAGAGCTTGGCTTCCATAATACGTCGTTCGGTCTGGTATGCTGGGCAATGACATAGAATGTGCTCGAGCGTTTCCTCGCAGGCGCAGATGTTGCATGCCAAAGTGCTCGCCATTCGAAGGAGACGAGAGTACGAATTCGTAAATGCCACGCCCAGCCTCATGCGACACAGTAAAGTTTCAGCGCATCGTGGGAACCCGGATGGCAAACGAAGTTGCAAGTTTGGGTCGATCGAATACAGGTACGTGTTGGAGAAACCCTGCGTATTCCATTGTAGGAGAGATATACGGCGAGCAACTGATTGTAGTAGCCTTGCAGCGTCCGTTCTCAAGAGTGGTATGGGCCTGCGTTGGTCTTGGTCATGAGCCGATCGAGCAGCTTCATTCGCGCGGTCATTGCTGAAGATTCCGCAATGACTCGGCAACCACTGAAATACAATATCGTGACCTTTCGCGAGCGCTTCGTGGTAGTCGTGCCTTATCTGATATACTGATTGTTCATGTAGCCCATGCTGCATAACAAACCGTAGTGACTGTAAGGCTGACCTGGAGTCGCAAAAGATGGCCCATTGGTTAGGTTGCTGGCGAAGAATGTACTTTACTGCACCTTGAAAACTGCGAGCTCTGCTGCTGTCGACGTCGTGGTGTGAGAAAACTTGTACTGAAGCAATACATTTTCAGATGGAACAACCACTGCTCCTGTGGAGCTGTTGGAATTAGTGGAACCATCGGTGTAAACATGTATGCGGTCGAAGTACCTTTCGTCCAGCAGACGCAAAGACAATTGCTTCAGGGCTAGCGTTGACATGCGTGCCTTCTTAAAGATTCCAGGAACTGATAAGCGCACGTCAGGTTGACGAAGACTCCATGGCGCAGTTGCTGGATGCATCGCAAGTTTGAAGCCAGGCGGTAGTATGTCCTGATGTTCTGTCACGATACCACAGTACGAAGAGTGGGGCCTCCGAGCTGTCAAACACGCTAAATTATGTGACGGTAGCCGTGATAAATGCCGAATGTGCGGTCTCAGCGTCTCGACAATGATGTGCGTTGTGACCGGTTGTTCTTGTGCAATAACAATAGTTGACACTGTCGATGAGCATCTTGGAAGGCCAAGGCATGTCCGAAGTGCTTGGGCTTGTACGCTTTGCAGTGCACGGATGTTAGTCTTGCAAGTGTTGGACAGGATAGGAAGGCTGTACCGGAGAGTTCCGAGAAAGAGGGCTGTGTAAAGCTGCAGCATGGAGTGCACGGATGGGCCCCATAATTTTCCGGCGACGAACTTGAATACATTCGCAATGCCAATGAGCTTTTTCTTCAGGTATGTGACATGCGGGCTCCAGGTTAGGTCACGATCTACGATGACGCCTAAGAATCTATGAGTTCTCTTATATGGAATTGATCTGCCATCGATGCACAATGAGTAGAAAGACATCGGTTTGCGTGTAAACGCCACCGCTGCGCATTTTTCTGTGGCGATAGTCAAACCTTGCTGGCGAAGGTATGTCGATGTCATTGTTGCCGCTTTCTGTATTCTTGCGCGCACTTGAGGCCGTGTCACGCCGGACGCCCAAATGCAGATATCGTCAGCGTAGAGAGATATATAGGCCG